GATGTAATTGGACACGCTTAACATATTTTATTACAAAAAGCAAAAAACTGAAGAGAGTTACCGAGGAAGAAGACAGAAAGATAGATTAGCAGGTGTACATGAAACAATCATGTTTTTGATTGCCTGAATGTTGAAAAAGCTGTTTCTTTTATAGTGAACAATTCATAACTAATTTCAAATGTAAAATTAAGAAAGAAAACTGCTTTTGAATAATCTGCACCTAAATTACTCTGACAAGCCACCCAAAATGTTACAATACAGTCACAGTACTTGTTTGTCGTTTGTCACATTGCTTTGAAAAATGAAATACCGAAACTGTATCATATTGTTCAAAACGGAGGATATTTTTTTAGAACAAAACAAACATTTGAATATTTGGCAGACATCACAAACTCCAGAATTTAAACATACAGTAAGAACTGGTCTTTATTCTTTGATGCCACAATATTATTGTTTATAACATTTAAGGGTAAACTGTATTTAACATACAGTATACTGGACTAAATATGAATAGAGAATTGCTTTTTTTTAAATAACATACAAGACATACACTTTGATGAATCCCATGTTTTGAGCTTAAGAATGCAGGTTTACAGCTAGTGTTATTGGTTATTAAGCTGGACATTTTGCCCAATATAGTGAATTATTTTCCTGAAAGAACAATCTTGACAAGCCTCTATATATTTAGACATCTCTCCCCACCAACATTTCCTGCAGTGATTGTTCTGTAACAGGGCAGGTGTATTGCTGGAAGCAGTGCCACCATCATACCAAACAGACTCAAACTATCACCTTTTGCAAGTGACCGCTTAGTCAGGCATCACAAGGAATTAGTCAGGAAGTAAAACAAGCACAAGGGTCTTTTAACTTCCAGGGTTTACAGTACACGACAATGCTCCGAAGTACCACCTAGAAGGGTCAGGTCAAGCCAGAGTCACGTTCAGGTCAAATAAAAATGATGTAATGATCTTGCTGAGCAATTGCTTCTCAGAATGGAGAAGACGATTTGGAAATCACCACACCAGATGATGTATGACACTTTCCCCCCTTCATCTTATCTATCCCCCACAGGCTTCACGGACATTAACATGTTCTATATTTGTATAGCTTCTTTGCTTGAGCAGGTAATGCAAAAACACTGGGAACTTTTGTTTGTTTTTTGTTAATCCAGCCGGATTAACTGTCCATCTGTCCATTCATTCCCTGTGGTAGCCTGGTTCGGTAACCTTAATAAATGCTATAAAAGCAGACGGAGCAGATCTGTGATGGTAGCCAGCAAAACAACTGGTGCGCAATAGCTACAGCTTTCAGACAAATACATCAAAAAGAAAGTACCCCTTGCACAGTGATTTCAAGCTCTTTCCATCTGGGTGTCGATTAAGATGGCTTAGATTCAAGTGCAATAGATCTAAGCTATCTTTTATTTCCATGACTGTTAACCTGCTTAATTTGGACAACTGATTCTTTTATTTATCTCATCGTACATGCATGTCTCCTATTTTTTAAAGGCTCTGTGTTGTGTTAAATGTGTTTTGTATTGTGTTACCTTCCTTGCAAAGAACATTTCCCACCTTGGACAACAAAGTGAAGTAAATAGGTAACACAGGCTTTTGGGGGAATTTGAGACGGCAAAAGTTGTTTAGCTGAGTGTACAAAGCCTTACACAGCAATGGTTACTTTCTGCAAGATCTAGTCCTTCTAGTCCACTGTTTATCTCCCAAGCCAGAACACAGACAACTCAATTTTTTCACCATCCCTGAATCTGATGACTACAGTGAGTGTGACTAGCCCAGAGTGTGAGAGTGTCCCTGAACATGTGAAACTCTAAACATAACAGAGTGCGGCAATAAAATCTGTCTCATGTTTTTCATAATCGCTTAAAAGTCTCGAAAAAAAGACAAATGAAGATTCTTAAAATAGCTGTTTATACTGCAGTGTTGGGCAGTTGCACAGGTGTGATGCCACAGGCTGCATTCACTGCAGCTGCCACAGTAATTCTGTGTATGTTTGCCACAAGGATGAGCACTGATGAATATCATCTCGTGTCAGAAGAGTGTCCCTATGGGGCTGTGAAGTGTATATCGGACTCAGCATAATAAGCTGAAACATCTGCTCACCAGATCACAGACTTACAAGTGCGTAGGAACAAAAAAAAAAATCACTTTCACTTTCATATTTTGCAAATATTACTTTATGCTTAAAGGCTATGCGATAAAATAGATGTGAAAAACTTGGGAGTGGAGAAGAGATTTACTCTTTATTCTGGAGTACATTTTTGACTGTAACAGGGTATAATCTTCCCGGCCACATCTCTGATCCAGTGAAGACCTGCACAAAACCCCCATCCCAGTCTCACATAGTTCCTCAGAACCACCAGAAAGGTACTCTAATCATCATGTGTCACTCTTCTAAGGGCAACACAGGGAAAAATCAGCCCAGAACCCTGGTGAATCTTGCAAAGATATTGTTTCTTTATGTGCTTCCAGTTAAGATTGGTAACAGTTTTACAGTGCTGTAGGTCGGCATGGCATGGACATTAAAAACGCATGATCTTCACATCAATTTGTCAAGGGAAAATATCACAGGGTCACATTTATTTATGTCAGAAAAACCAAGAGAAAGGTTACAGATGAGAGAAGGCCATTCTGCCCATTTAGAACATTAAATCTTCACATTAAAATCAACGTATCGCTTTTCTTTTTAAAGAAATAAACTGTAAGGTTTTTGGATACTTATTCATTTTTTTACATTGTGTTGTTCAATTCCTTATTCATGCCTGCCTGTCCTGCACTTGAGTGACTTGAACTGTTGCATAATCATAAAATCATCTTATTTGTACACAGAGCTAATTTGTGGTGGGGTGACTTTACCTGTTGAATGTCAAGTTGAATGGCGAAAACAAGGAAAGAAAACCTATATGCCTAAAAAAAGCCTTTATGAAATTGTCTCTCAGGGTGCTCACAGCCAGCAACTTGTAACCTTCAGAAGACCTTGTAGTCTGTCAATCACAGGACATCAAGACAGTCAATCAAGACCTAGAGGACATCATGAGTCAAGACACCACTCCAGGGCCAATGATGAGACCCAAGTATTATAGTTTAGACACTCCAATTCATTATAGACACACTGATGGGCAGGACTGTCTAGGACTGATTACAACCTGATTGCACAGTGCTACATCGTTCAAGTCCTGTGACCTCACTTCCTGGAGGCTCACCCTTATGTCACAGCATTCTAACAGAACAAAGACATGTTTCCTTTCTATTACATTTGTGGATTTCTTTGCAGATCAAAGTGATCTATCTTGTTTTTCTATGCAAGGTATGTTTTAAGAAATGCCATACCTGACCTTAAGGGACCAAATTTGTACCCAAGACCACTTGCACTTCACTTTCATTTGTTTTACAAAAAAACTAGCAAAAAACATGATCTTAATACAGTTACAAAGCACTTATACTGTAACTCAGTGACATTAGCATAGATTTGATTTCTGAACAAATACATACTGTAAGATGATCTGGGCTGTCAGTAGAAAGTAATTTTATTGCATTTCCTTCTTTCCATTATTAAGTATTCTTCTCCGTTATACCTTTCAAATCTAGTTCTCTATAGACTCAACAAGGAGAACAGACAGAGTCGCTCAGTATATTCTGCTGTTTTGCTGCCAGTACAGTTCAGTGCAGTGGATTGAACGGGTTACTATAGAAACAAGCAATCATAAGACTCAAAGGCCTAGTATTGTGTATATGTCCAAAATAAAAACCTTTTTATGACACACATTTTATATATTACTGAATTATAAAAAGTATCGCAGCAAGCAAATAAGCATCTTTATAACCCATATACTGTACTTCATGTTTAAAAATGGCTTATTTTATGTCAGCCATTAAAAAATTAGTTGCTCTCATACAGTACTAAATTGAAATGTATACCAGAGCTTACTATCAGCACATTCAACATATTCAACACCTTATGTACTTTAATATGCCTTAATTGTTTAGCTTATTGACACAGTAATGGTTTAGCAAAAATAATTAAGAATTTATCCCCGCTCTCAGATTTCAGAAAATGTTTAATCTTGTTTTGATACAACCTCTGTACTTCTTTTGCATACTGATATTTTCCTCCAGCTGTGTTTTTCTCGCACACTGATTGCATTCACATTAATCACTGCATTCCAACTGCTGATTGCATACATTTTATTGATGTAAATACATTATTTGTTGAGTTCTGACACAAACCACTAATCAGACTTAATCCAGGAAATATACAGTAGGAGTCAAAACCTTTGACACAATCTGCATGACACCTTGAAATGTCACCATATTTTTTCATTTTAAAAGAAATTACAACAACTGTAAAGCTTAGATGCCTAATTGCGCCTAACATCTTCCTGTTATTAAAGGTACTTCAAATAAAAAATTAAAGTTTTTCAAATAAAAAAACGACTTGGAAACTCAAACCATATGAGTAAGACTCAAACACTATTATCTTAGTATACAGTTTAATAAAAGCATCTTGCTCACATATGTGTGACCTGTGAAAATGTGAAGTTATTTAAACATACAGTATATGCATATTTGATTTGATAAAACTTTTTTCATTTTTAAAATTTTGTCTTTTACACATTAGTTGTCAAAATGTAAAATATTAATTCACAAGCACATCAATCAATCAATCTTTCATCATGTCATGTTAATGAAGTGCCAGTGTGGATCCAGTGCAACACAGTATGACCATTGCAGGACAAGGAGTTACCTGTTAAATATCAATACTTATAAATTACTTATACTAACTAGTTTTACAGTTGTTGGTCAGAAGCAACAACTTATTAAGTAGTAATAACTGCTTGTCCCTATGTTATATTTTCAATTTTTCGATTATTTCTTTCAACTTTATTGCATGCTCTTTCTTTAGCTGGAGATGCTAAAGAAAGCATGGAAAAGTTCTCATCATATACAGTATTGATGAGCAGAATGGAAATAAAAACAGTTCCTTACCAGGTTGGCTAGTATGTAATGATAACTTTTCACATTCTTTCCATGGCTGGCAATCTGCAAAACAGAGCACAAAGTCACATGTACTGTATGTGTTTCTCTAATTGTAAATGTCCTTACTTAACATTCAAATCAGTATTCTGGATATAAACAGATTGAGTACAACTGCTCAATTGCCATGTTTCCCATTATATTCATCAACATGCGTGTGTCACTTCGTCATCCACAATATCCTTTGGTCTTCAGATGGGTTTATATTATCTGTTATAAAACTGAACTCTAATCAATTGGTATGGAATCACAACCTAGACTGAACAGCTTGTCTGACACATTCGAACGTTTAACAAGCCACTCTCCGGTATGTACCTGTAACTACTGATTAGATAAAGACCTGAAGACCCTGTCCTCAGATCTTTGTGGTCATTACTCAATGACAAAGACAGCTCTTTTGAATTCCAGGAGATCATTTTAACAAATTAAAAAATTAAAAAATAGAAATTTGAAAACACTCCGAAATGTGTTATCTATTTTTTTGTGTAAATAGAGCATTTACTTTGGTTTTCTGGTTAGTCAAATGTTGAATAAGTAAGTGTGATGTGTTTGATATACTGTATTCATCACATAGACTAGAGTCCATAATTTAAGTTAAGCAGGCATTACAGCATGGGATGATCTTAAGAAGGAATGATACAGTAGGTAAATGCAACAGTCAGGGCTGTCAGCAAACTCAGCAATTTTGGCAAAAGACATACAGTAACAAGAGCACAGCTTTTTACAACCTGACTGAAGATTGTAAACTCAACAGCGCAAACAGGAAAGGAAATGATCAAGCATTACAGCTCTCAGTCACAACTCTACATATTTGCTCACACATTTACTAATTAACCAGAGAATGAATTAATTATATCCAGGGACACTGGGGATATGTAGTATTTAGAAAATCATAAAAGAATAGCATGTTGTGTACCGTACAGGATAAAACTAACATTTAACACAAAAAGTAACCTGCAAAATGTTTTTTTCTCCACCGTATCTGATCTTTCATTGAAACTGAAAAGATTTTGGCTTTAAGGCTTAACACACACTCCACAAAGTTTCACTGAGCTTTTTTCTTCTGATGTGGTAAGTAGGCCATAAGCTTCAAACAGGTCCAATGATATCATTCACATTGAACAGTTATAATCTAATTTTCTCATTTCTTACTCTAAACCAATTTGAGAAAATTGACTTTTTCACTGACTCAAATTGCCTTTCAAATTACCCTACCATTCCTAAAAAAATGAAAACAATATACATTTCTAAATTGACATTTATGTTTTGAATTCTAATACTATTAAATATAAAAAATGATCTTCATAGAATAAGAAGAGCACTGATATGATTGTTTGGCAAGTGTGATTCTAAATTTCTCGCATATCTCATGAATCCAGGCTATTATCCTTAGACATTTTTAATTGTTAAATCTGAGTAACAAATCAGTAACAATTAAGGGGGAAGGGGGGATTTACCTGTATGTGAAATATGTTCTACCAAAGAAATGTATTCTGTACAACAGAAGTTTTTTGAGCAAAAAAGACAAGATGAGTCATAATTAAATCTATTCCAAAAGCCCTAATGTGTCAGGGTTAACCCTAGAGCCAGGAAGATATGTAGAAAAGAACTAAACATCACACAAGCCTTCATATAATGACATTTTCAACTTCCGATGACTCAGTATTCAACTTAGAATGATTTCAACTTTTTTGATCAGCATTTATTAGTTTGACATTAAAGAAATTGTATCACAAATTCACCAGATTGCAGAGAATGTTTGAAAATTGCTGTTGAATTTTTTTTTGAATGTTTTTAAATGGATTTCTCATTTAATGGGTTTTAAGCAAGTTAAGGAGATGTAATATCGTAGTAACCTGGGAGACACTGAATCTGTTAGGGGGATTTCACAGCTGCCTGGACAGTGGCATGGTGTGGTCTGTGCAGCTCTGAAATATTCCAGACTACATTGATCGAATCCCGGCAGAGGCAGAGCTGCAGAGACAGGTAGCCTGGTGTCTCCGTGTGCCACATCACATGCCAAACTCCAGAACATAACTAACAATGAAAAATCATCACCATCACAATTTTGTTCATTGAATATCTTAAAGACTCTTTTTTTTTCAATTATTCATGCAATGTACTGTTGTACTGAGCTCATACTGTATGCTTTTGAAAGTCTCCTTGCTTACCAGCTACACTGAGTTCAGCTGCAGCAGCAGGAAAGCAGGGATAGTTTCAAAAACAGCTAAAGCTCCAGAGCATTGTCTCTTGCAGTGTGTAGGAAATTGTGAAATTTGCAATGACATTTAATTTCATATCATCTTTTTCATTTGAAGGAGCTGCTCATAATTGTTTAAATTTATTTAACATAACTTAACTCTTCATTGCTGGTAAGTAGTACAGATTAAGGGAAGGTTAACAATAATGAGAGGAACATGTGCTTTAAAGCTGTTCATTTAAATTACTGCATAATTGCAGATGAGCTTCATTGCAATCGGAACTTCTCAGATTTATAAAGTATCTGCTAAAGTGTTTCACAGTGTGCAATCTTTTTTCGTGCCACACAGAGAACCATCTATCCATTTCCTTATGGGGGAGCCGGAGCGTATCCCAGCAAGCATCAGGGGCAAGAGAGGGCCACACAGAGATCTGTTTAGGAAATTATGTTATTTCTGGCAATGCCCAAACCAATCCCTCACTGCAGAAATGAGAACAGCATTTGTTTAAATGTGGTTATGGTGGTTAGGGTTAAACAATTCTCATTTGGATCATATTAGCAATTAGTGTCTCCGTTTTTAATTGTTTTAATTTGTGTTGTTTTCGGTTGAAAATATTTGAGTGGTTCACCGAATGCAGCCAAGCCAGGGTTTGAGCAGTTGTCTGAAGCTCTACAGAATTGCCCTGGAAGTCCTATGCACAGTGTAGATCGCTTTGTTTAGTGGGGGTAATTAGGTTAAGTGGTGATACTAAGCTCCATGAATAAAGATGGTGTCAGGAATACAAAACACGACATTTACCAGTTTCAGTATGGAATTCAGCTTGTCTGTCTCACAGTCAATAACAATCTGCCCCTCTTTTTTCTTGTCCAGATCCTGAAAGACTTTCAAAAAGGCAGCTTCTGTCATAGTTTCCAAGTTCACTGAGGTAACAAACCAGTTCTTTTCAGGCGCAGTGTCTAGAACTTTCTGCAGCACTGTCAGTCCTAAACAACAGAGACAAAAAAAAGAGACAGACATAAACAAATGTGCACAGCTGCAGCATATTAACTTTTATTTTACTAAGATTCATAAAGCTCAAATTCAAAATATATTAAATTCATTCAAAAAATACAGACATTCATAAATTAAAAAACTTTTTTTTAACAAGGCATGTAGTATTACAAGTCCCTTGCAAATCCCATCTCTACTTTAACACAATGGATTTCTGCTCCTGAAAAGTTAGTTCAACTAAGTTTATTCCTTATGAAGGTTTACCTCTGTAAATGTTTAGTTTTTGTGTAGTCCTTCCACACACGCACTAATGCTTATAACATGCATGGAATGTAATATACCTATAGTTTGTGTAATAGTTTACTACATTTTACTACTTTTAATGGTCATACTTTGCTTTTTTATCCTTTTCTTTTTTTTATCACAGGAAACCACAACCAATGTATATAAGGTATGATAAAAAAGGCAAAGAAATAGTCAAATAAAGCCACATGGTCTTCATATACAGTCACTTTTCATTTGCTTTTGAATTGCTGAAATTGTAATCTATTACTTATTGTGGAGCCTCCTCATCTGTTTTTCCACAACGTTTGCTCAACACCCTCAGCTTTGACAAACCGTTTCCTTTGTTTTCCTGCTAATTACCTCCAATCTCTACTCCGCCTAATAACATTCCTTACCACGTCCACTTGTTTGTGTAGCACCCAATGTTGTTTTGCGTGCATACAGATTATTTTTCACAATGTAAACAACACTTACTCTTCGATATATGTTATCTGATCTTCCATATTCTGGAACTACGGCAGGTATAGGCCTTTTGAACTGGACACTACTTTACAGGTGCATGAAATAAACCAGTTAATACAGTAGCTAACACTACATGTAACCAGTTTATCAACTCAACAGGATAAAAATATGCATCCTTTTCAAAGAACTGAGGGCTCCAAAAAGATTTGGAACTTCCATTCTTTAACTCAATGCCAAAGACAAAGAGGAAAAGTTCCCTTCTAATTTCGAACACAAATCATCCACAAGAGATATACTGTAGACTAAAGGGAACAGCTGAGGTCTTCAACATTGTTGTTTCACAGTCAATGGCATGAGTCCAGCTCCTCTAGTCACCACTAATTTGATCAGAAGGGGCTACATGTTCTCTTGCAAGCAAACAACATAGGGACTACACTTCTCTTGCAACCATTGCGTGAATTTAGAACAAGGTAACTAAGTTGAAAGGTGTTTATACAAACACAACCACAATACAACTGTACATGAAGAACAGCTGGAAAAGCTAACAATATCTGAACACTGAAAAATAATTCCAATTGTAAAAACAGCACTACTAAGAAGAGAAAGTGAAGACTCTGATGTACTGTGCAATATATCTTATCTTATAAGTCATTGCCTACTGCTTATGTACTTTACCTTTAATTGTAATAGTTTTAGATTTACTGTAAATGTAATATAAAGTGAATGAGTTACAGTCTTGTGACTGTACTTGTACTAATGCCATTGATTCAATGGCAATATTCATCTGTTTCCATAAACAAACACCTGTATCTTCTACTGTAATGAGATGGTAATAATTTCTTTATAAATGATATATCAAAAACCTGTCAAAAGGCTCAGGCTTAGACAAATCTTGGCTGTTTTTCAGAACGTTTTAAACTGTGAATATGCTTCTTCTAAGCCAAAGGACTGACAGGCAAGCTTTCCATTTTGCTTACGCCAGTGAAAGTTATGGCATTACTTATAGGAAAAAAACACATTTAATGCGCACGTTTTCCTGAAATATAATCCCTTTTGGGTAAAATTACGAGCGCTACATCTTGACTGGATACTTACTTGTTTTCAACTGACATAATTAAAGTAACTTAAAATGCCTCACACAAGTTCCATTTTAGAATTATGACTTGATGGCAATAAATCATATTGTTAAAACTGAACAAGGACTGCTGCAGTTTACTTATTTGTATTTTGTGCCCTTTCATTGCAGTGTTACAATACTGGTAAATTTTGCATGCTCAGATATATTGTAGCACAATGCCCTTTATAAAAGCCCATGGTGCCAGATTTAATTTAGGAATTACTCTCTATGCAGACAAGAAATCATGATTGATTCTCTGAAACGTCTTTTGTGATAATAAGCAGCTCAGCCGTAATACTTTCAGGAGCCAGAAAGCACTCAAGGGATTCTTGCTTGGATGTTTTCCGTTGGTATTTTTTCCAAAAAGGAGCCCACCATTTCCATATTTTATATATTGTATTTTGTTTAGGAAGAAGAGTACTGTATGGAGGACTGTATAGAAGGAAACCATTGACAGTGAACTAATGGAGGCCAAAAAACGAACCGTGAAGTACATTGATAATAGTGGGTTTATCATGAGAAACGTACATTATGTGCGTGAAACTAGAAGAGTGTAATAGCGTCTTGGTGTAACATGAAACTATTATGGTGACGTAACCCCCAGTGGCTTCAGGCTGGCCCTGTGACATAGACATATTTACCTGCTGCTGGGAAGAAATGCTACAAACACAGTACTGTGTTCACAAAGTACTGGCTTGTAAACATATTCCTGCCGGTGAAAGCATTTATTGGACGGGAGTGAAAATGAAATCAACGACGACTTCAAAAAAAGAAAATAAAATCTATTGCTCCAAGTCAAAACATATCTTTTAACTCGGTTAAACATGTCAGTTCTACAAGTCATTAGCACAGGCAAAGATAATTAAGTCTTCTTTTTCCACCAAGAAGTGAAGCATGTCTTCAAGCTACTTTTTACATTCATGAAGAGAAAACATTAAATGATTTGCCTGGCTCTGCATAAAAGAGGAAAATGAGCGCTGCTTAGAAGCCATTGATCCTGGCAGACAGATTTATAGCGCAAACAAAATCTCATTCAGGTTATATTACATGGATCAACGCATTTTCTAAGAATGAAAGTAGCTTAGTAATGGAACCTATACAGTTCATATTGATAGGTCTTTATAATAAGAAGGAACTTAACCTCGCCATTTGAGGTTCTGCTAATAAATACCAAGCCATTAACCCACTATATAAACATTATCGCATCTGGTATAATTGTTTGCCTCTCTGCCAAACATATTCAAAGAGATTTACGCCCCAATGCAAGCGGAGTAAACCTTACCGGCATTCATTCTTCATTAATTCTCAGGCGATGAAGTGAATTTAGTGCCTCAATTGAAATTCATTATGTCCACAGCTTTGTTTGTTCCCAGAAACGTTTTAATTACCTCATTAATACTGACTGTTTTATGTATTTTAGGGAAGTGTCACTGTTTCAGGCTGAATTGGGTTAATATGAATTGCTGGGCTTTAATTGTTTCCCAGTCCAGTTGGGTGCCACGATATTGTTTGGTTTAATGGAAATGACAACAGTTGTGTGTTCATCTTCATCACAATTACCCTCTAAGCAGGTCCTAGGTAAAGTCAGCTAAAACTTTCAAAAAAGACTTCTGTGGAAAAGCTCCACTTCTTCTGCAGTGAAGCCTGACATTTAAAAAAGACCCTTTTTACTCATGATCTTGATCATATTTTGGTGCTTTCTATACCACTTGTTCTCACAGAAACAAGAAACAAAGGAGAAAACAGAGATCCAAAAAACAAGACAGAAGAGGAGGACTATAAATACACTTGCTTGTATTATGCATTTTACAAGCATAACCGTGTTTATTAAAGAACCAGTTGCAAATCAATCAGCAAAAGGCTATTCTAAATGTTCATTATTCACATTTAATATACAGTACCAGTAAATTCAATTTAAAAAAGAAAACGATGATAACTCATTTTTATTATTCCTAGAATAAGAACCTAAGCTCAAGCTATATCTTCGGAAAACCTGTGACGCAATTTTGAAATTCAGGTTATTAAACTCACACAGCACCTAATTCAATTGCTAAATCAGGATTTCAGCCTTCTCCACTTTATTGCCATCATATTTTATCAAAAAATTGCCATATATTCTGTAAGTATATGAAAGCAGCTCATGTCATCTCATATACAGTACTCAGTGCATGTCTTTATCCAGCACCAGGATGGTTTTGGTAAAGGAAATTAGTCCCTTGCCTGGGTTTTTGCATCACTGCGTCAGCAGAATGAAAAGGGATGTTTTTTTTGGGGTTAGACATCACTCCTCTTGCAAGTCTAAATGTTATTATGCTGTGTGCCCTAACCTCCTGCCACTGAAAAGACTGCCTAGGGCTCCTGTGCAACAGTCAGGTATTCTGTGTATTTTATTGTTTTCACCTCCCAGGGGGGCTTTATTTCAGAACTAGTGTTTCCTTTGCTTCCATCTCTTCACAATCCATTCATCGCCTGCAAGCTTTCTTCTAAGGTCATAAGAAGTTTGCTGTTCACTACCCTACTAAATGGTGAGTGGAAGGCGATCCCTTTCTGGATATTCATCCATAGATCCATGGCTCAACATGGGGAAAAAAAGGAAAAGGTGTTCTTTCACAAAAACTGGCATCTTGTGATTTTTGCCGTGGGTAATTTTATACTTCGAATTATTCCGATGACTTTATGATAATAGAAGTGAGTTTTTCATATTTGAATAAAGAAACACGACACTCAGAAGCATTTATACTCACAGACAAATGAACCCTTTGCAATTACATGCACATAACCCACTTGCCTGCAGAGCTGTGCTGTGGTCCTGAGTGCTTTAAAACTGACCTTTTGGTGTACAACGAACCCTACTGTATGTACAGTATATTATATATACGCCTATCCTATCTGCCCTAATTTAGAAAATGAGCCATAAATTACAGCACCTTTGAAGGCAATTTTCTGGTATTGAATGAGGTGGTACTGGTACTTCTCAAATCTGTCATATGACCAATGTCATTCAGGTGGGTACTGTAGCTGCGTCAGCATGCGTAGGATCTAGTAAGAACACCCTAACAAGGCTCCACAGCCGAAACGTTGTTTTCTCCTTCTTCTCTTTACAGCATGGAATAAACCTATTACTTGTTC